TATTTTTTGGAAAACGGCAAGAGGCGGTCTCTTCATGAGCAACTTGTACGTTATTATTTTTTGGAAAACGACAAGCGGCGGTCTCTTCATGAGCAACTTGTACGTTATACACATCGTTGGAAAACGACAAGCGGCGGTCTCTTCATGAGCAACTTGTACGTTATAGACATCGTTGGAAAACGGAAAGCGGCAGTCTCTTCATGAGCAACTTGTACGTTATTATTTTTGGAATACAGCAAGTGGCGGCTTCTTTATTTGAGCAGCTTGTATGTTATTGACACCCCTGGACGACAGCAAGTGGCAGCCTCTTTATTTGAGCAGCTTGTATGTCATAGTATTTTTTGGAAGAAAGCAAGTGGCGGCTTCTTTATTTGAGCAGCTTGTATGTTATTGACACCCCTGGACGACAGCAAGTGGCAACCTCTTTATTTGAACAACTTGTATGTCATAATATTTTTTAGAAGACAGCAAGTGGCAGCTTCTTTATTTGAGCAGCTTGTGTATCTACAACCTTATTATTATTTCAGCATTAATTAGTATATCTCCGGAAATCTCGTCGAGAAGTTTGTTATGAATCTTTACCTTCAGAAGTCAGTAATCCATTATCAGCAAAATTGATACTTTCTGTTTATCTGTGACCTTGAGTTGTGAACTCACAGATATTTTGGGTCAATAATCTGTTTTTATGGCCTATGCAAGATACCTTCTTTGTTAGGGTCAGAGTCCGTATTCTCTCAAATTTTTATTCGCCGTCAAGAGTCTATTATTTGAAGTCGATGGCTCATTTCCCCAGTAGTGTATAATCTATGTCCCTGCGTTTTGTTGGTGTTTGATTTCTCCCGCATTATCTTGTTTTCATACAATATCTTTCTCTGTGAATTCAATCACTACATTCATATCAAACATAATGGCAGTATCTTAGGGCAAAAATTTGCGTATTATCACTACAAGAAAATTAGTGTTTAACGACACAAAAATTGCGACAGTTATGTGATAACTGTCGTAATTGACATATAGCGACAGTGTTTACGACAGTTGACACCAACCGTCCCTAATATTTATTTTGCGACGGTATATTTAACCATCATAATATTATTATTACGACGGTAAAACAACCGTCGGCCCCCATTTAACACTTTTAACATTGATTTTTCACCAACAACTAGTCACGACGGTAAAATTAACCGTCCTAAAAGGCATATCACGACGGTAAAGCACCCGTCGCACCCTTAAACCTTTCACGACGGTAAAATTATCCGTCCTAAAATTCATTTCACGACGGTAAAACAACCGTCGCATCCAAAACCTTTAAAAATTCTCATGGGCACGACGGTAAAACACCCGTCGCCGTAAAAAAGTTAAAAAGCTCTTAAAATACATAAAAATTTTGAATAGTTAAAATTCTATCATTTTTTTCTTCTAAAATTTGGCCTTTTCCTATCAATATATTATACACAGCCTAGATGCAAAAATATATACTATATGTTTATTGACAAGTTGCAATGTATAATGATTATTTTTGAATAGTTAAATAGCAATACTGAAACCTGACTGGGATTTGATGCATATGAATAATATATGTCAAAAAGTTATACTACTTAATTTATGCAATAATGAGAAAAAATAGCAGTCCTGTGCTTGTGCTTCTCTGTTAGATTTAGATTATAGAAATTTTATTCATACTTCACCATCCGGCACCGACCACCCATACTTCACCATCCATCCATACTTCACCATCCGGCACCACCACCGATTCAAGATTCGACAACCAATCACCCCAAAACCAACTCCCAGAAGCGGAAGAAAGAGGTCAATTCCAAGCTAGCTTAAATCGAAACCCTAGAAAAGGAGCTCGGGGGTTTGTTTGAGTACTACAAAGGGGTTTTGGGTAAGAAGGTTATTGTTGACCTTAAGAAATGCGGTGGGTCGAGAAACACGGTTCACAACATTGAGCCAATTGCATTGGTAGGTAAATTTTTTAAAAAATAATTTTCAATTCCATTATTAATTTATTTTACCTTTTTATCCCTCTAGATAGATCTGGTGTTCATGAAATTCATCTATAATTGGCTTTGTTTTTTTTGTTTGAGAGGTTTTTAGGTTAGGCTTGCTGTGATTATTATGAACACACAAATTGTTTGGGAAATTAACCAAGTGATTGACAATTTCTTTGTTTGCTGTGAAATTGAATTCAAGGAGATGCTTTTACACAATTTAGTCATTATTGTTGTTGTTCAGTTGTTGTTTTGATCCTTTTTCAGGATTTTAATTGAAATCTAATGTAAATTATGTAAATTGTTAGAAAAAAAAGCCATTTATAGAAACTCACATTCTTCTTTCTTATGAAAATGTGGTTCAAATAAGCTGAATACTTTGTGTGGTAAGGATGAAATATGTAATTACTGAAACAAACTCTTGCTTGTTTATTAACTTAGGATGAATTGTAGCATTAAAGCCTTAAAGGTCAATGGCATTTTAAAATGCAAGGTTGATAAGGGTGTTTTCCAGGTAATTTTATGCTTTCGTATTGTTTTAGTGCGGAGTCGAGGCTTGATTGTCAGTGCTTTTTGTTGTGTTTTTGAATAGTTGATGCAAGTTCTTTATTTTGTAAAGGATATTGCTTCAAGACTTAAAGCTGCTGTCAATGAAGACTTAGAAAAGCTATTTCATAAAATACTCTTGTTAAGCTTAAACTAATGACCTAAATATAAGGGATTTCCAATCTCTTTCTAGTTGGTTGTTTCTTGGCAGTCAAGTAAAAACTGACATGAAATATTCGAAATATATTCTTTGTCAAGAATTGGATTCCAAAGAAATAACAGTTTTATTACAAAGAAAACTGTAGTTGGTTTTATTATTCACAAGGAAAAAAGGATATTGGGTAATAAAGGATATTGGGTAATAAAACTGTACAATCTCTTCTTTGAACTCAAGAAAAAAGGATCTTTGTAATAAAACTGTAGTTGGTTTTATTATTCACAATTACAATATTCGAAATATATTCTCTAACCTTTTTGTTCTCCTATTTATAGACATACTGTCTAACTAATCCTATTAAAGGAACTGACTTTAGTAAGTTCTAGAACCCTGGTACTACTGTAACTACTGTGCACTAGCTGCACAGTATACTTGCTAAGCCTAACTAATCCCTAAAGTCTAGGAAACAAACTAACAGATTTAGTTAGTCTTGTGAGTCTATAAATAGACCACACTCCTTGTAATTCACAATCAGTTATTGCAAAAACAGAAAAGTAGAGAAACTCAGTTGAGATTTCTCTCTCTCAACATCTATGAATATTGAATTCTAACTAACATGGTATCAGAGCGCGGGCTCACGGTCCATGGACCTCTAGGACAAGATTTGATGCCATCTTAGAATATGTATTATACCTAACTCAGCCCAGTGTTATCGATGACAGAGCTAAAAACCCGCCACCAATATTTGCCACAGCGTTGCAATGTCCCAAATTTGACAACACCGACTCAACCCTACATCCCATAGTCTTAAGAATAATGGTCTTTCATCATCATTGTTGGCATCTGCATGACTTGACTTTTGACATGGTCTATATAGATTACTCCTACACTGACAGCATATTAATTAATGGATTTGTTGACTTTCGGGATGTGATAAAAACCATTCTTGTACACTTGCTTGATGGCATAATCTTTTAGGATAGTTGCTTCCTTACCTGGTATTGGAGTCTCCATGACAATTTTATTTGGGTTTCAATAGTTGCTTCCTCCATTCTTCTAAATTAGCCTTGAACTTCAGCACAGTGAAAATTGATTAGTACATTGTTTGTGCTCTTAGCCTAAAAGGTTCAAGTGAGGGGGTGTATCAAAGAGATCTAAGCCTTCATGCATCTTCATCCAGAACATTAGTTTTGGGAGAGTTGGTTCTTAATTAGACTGACTGACTCTATCATGGATTCTATGGTAGTACTTCAACCCATTCCATCAATCCAAAGGTAGCGTAAGGAAATAAGGAATAGCCAAACACAATGTGCTCATGAAGTAATGGAAAATAAATTAAGATTGTATATATTAGTCATCTGTGACAAGTCATGAAATATATTTGTAGTGACGGAATGAGAAATACTTGGGTGTGGAAGGTTGAGAGTGCCTGTTGGACTTTGCTGACACTAATTGAAGCTTGAGGTTCGGTAGCCACTTGCTTGAATTTTGCATTGGATAACTTTATAATTGGCCTATTTGTTGATGACCAAAACTGAATCTACTTATTATAGGATATCAGTATAATGAGTGGTTATTTAAATTCTTTACAATATCTTGCAGTAACTGATACTCACAGATTAACACATGCAATGAATTGTCGGATTTTGGCTATTTTATTATTATGGCTTGTGGAATCACTGTTTTGCAGCAAATAGGTTTAGTTCCATATACATATTTCTGTTTTGAATTATCAGGTTGTTTCTTATGCTGAAATTGGTGTTATGCTCACCACTCCTAATTTTTTGTTGTTTTAGATATCAGCTTCATATATCATATAATCCGTGGTCAAGCAACAATCAAACTGTATGTGATCTACAACGTCTTAGAGGTGAGCATAAATTAACCCTTATCCAAATTTTACTTAGTAATTTGCTCTCCTTTCATACCAAATATTTTTCGATACCTTATTATTTAAAAAAATATTCACAAAAACGATAATAATCCATATTTATTAAATTATTTCAATGGATGTTCGATAGAGTGAATTCTAGAGCGAAGATCTGAAACAAAAAGCACATTCATTTGGCAAACCTAAACAGCAGAAAAGTACCGTGCTCGTCAGCTTACTCTTCTCACTGGTTTGTTTCAGACTCCAATTTCTATTATCCATCAATCTCATCCATTTAATTTGAAATGAACAATTTATTCAGATTTTGCATGAATGATTTTTTATGGGGAAATCCATCGATTTTGTTTAATTGATCGATTTTTCTTGATTTGTGGCTGCAGAGTGAAACAATTGAAGGGGGAAAACGGTGGCGATGGCAGGTAACACGCAAGATTCATCACCTCAGTCTTTCTGGGAAGGCTACAAAGAGTTTTGGGGCGAGAGGTTTTCGTTTATGAGCAATTATTCCAACTTCATCAAGCGTGATAAACCCCTCACTTCCTGGTCTGACTCTGATGTTGAGGAATTCATCGCTTCTGATCCTCTTCATGGACCCGTGGTAACGATTCTTTTACTTTTTGTTCGATTCAATGCATTTATATCATGATTTTCTACATAGCTTATGCTTAGAGGACATACTGTTTCTACCTTGTATTGCCCAGCGATACGACATCCCTTTCATGTTTGCACCATACCTTTTGTTTTTGGGATAAATGTTTACACTCTGCACTTTTAGTTGGAAGCTTTGACATTTAATTTAAATTCTTCTATCCTGGTTCTTTCATTCCCCATGTTGCTGCATTTTTTTGATTAGTTTGGTTACTCTAGACTGCACAAGCAGCACTACATCAAGAGATGTAAACCACTATTTCTTTTTTGCTTATGGCAGATGTGGTGTCTAAAATGTATGTAAATCTCTATTATATAGATCAAATTCCTTTTGGAAGCTCTTCTGCTACCCTGGACTGATGGAACAGACACCACACTCATGTAAAATGACGTGCTATTGTGATGCAAACCAGATTTCTAGGGAATTAAACAGTAAATAATGCCAATGCAGAATAAGAGAAAGCATTGTTATAATTGATGAAATGTGATAGCAGCAGTAGGAAACAATCTCCCCAACTACCCATAGAGCTCGATCCTCAGAGAATAATCAATCCCCTGCCAAAAGAACTGAAAAATAACTTTTCATGCCCTATTTCCCCTGCCAAATCGATACCTTTCAGAAAAGATTTTTTTTTTGGACAGTATATGTTATTGTAAAAGTTGAACTATTGAAGTACTATTGTGTAGTTTTATACTTAATTTTCATGTGTTTCATTCTTGGTTGAATAATATTAAATTTCACAGGGGTCAATTTAATTGGAAGGTTTAGAAGAAAATGCAAAGGCCAATGAAACTTCTTAGTTAGTGGTGAGTTACATGAAAGAGGAAACATTTTAGGGATTATGTATTCCTTATTTGTATGTTGAAGCAATTTAAGAGATGAAGTATTTTCTTAGAACCTTGACAGCCTACCATGTTATTGCAAAGGTATATTTTTTATATAGTTTATTCATCACACATGTAAGTTTCTCAATCTTCGTGGTACTTTTTCTTCCATTTCGATAATGAATGTGTTTCTTCGTCATAGCTTCCCATCAGGTGAGCAAGGTTGGTGCTTATTCAAGAATAAAGCAAGAACTAGAGTCAAAGAAACAAGAATTCACCTATGAAGAAGTATTAAGCATTACCAGAAACTCTGAAAAGGTGGTGGGGGAAAGAAGCATCTGAAATAGTCTACCATGGCTGGATTGTGATGATATTGACGTAGCTGTCAAAATGCTATCTTTCTCATCAGCTCAAGGATATCTACAATTTCAAGTAGAGGTAGTATGATTAACTAACTTGCAAATGTCATCATGCCTGTGTGAGTGTAAATACAGTTAACAAGTTTTATCCTTTGTGATTGAAAGGCCAAATGTTTTGCTATAGTTCATCATAAATACTTGACTGGTCTTATAGGGTATTGTGATGATGGCACCTAACAAATGACAATTTTAATGTTTGTTGTTTTATTTACACTACTACACATGTGAGTGAAATATTTGTAGTAAGTGTTATTGAAATTCGAGTCTTTTCGTTTAATTTGTATCAGTTATAACATAGGAACTCTAATCGCTAGATTTGGCCTTTATCAAGGTTACAAATTCAATTTTGCGATGCTTACATTTCCATCGGGGTTGTTTGCATTCTTCTTTATTTTGTAAGTGATTATTGCTCACATTTTTTTTAAATACATGCTTTCAATTATTATTGTTTATGTTAACCTGTATGACAGTGATTGAGTTTCATGGTTGATGTTAATATTACATGAAGGAGTATGAGTACATTGCATAACAACTAATTGCTTGCTTCTATTCCTCCAAGCTGGAGCTTCATCGATCAATTCACTGTATTAGTACAAGGTATTCATGTTCCTCCTGAATGTACATGTAACGTCATAGTAAATTCTATTTTACAGTTTGAAATATTCTGCCCCTTCATATTGAGCGTGTTCTTTTTTATTTAATCATTTTGTTTAAACATGGTTAATGATCTTAGGGACTAGACGCAATGGTTGGTGAACATGGAACTCAACTCTAGGGAGGTCAAAAGCAAAGAGTTGCAATTGGAAGAGCAATTTTGAAAGATCCAAAAATATTACTTCTTGATGAAGCTACAAGTGCCCTTGATGCCGAGTGTGCATGTATTGATACTAACTTGTGCATTTGTATGTTCTTTTTAAACCTTGGTGATTTCCTTGTGCAGAAACTAGGGGAAGGTGTGAAAGGGGTGTATATCTCGATAGACGTGGATTGTCTTGATCCTGCATTTGCTCCGGGAGTGTCTCATATTGAACCGGGAGGTCTTTCTTTCCGCGATGTTCTTAACATCCTACACAATCTCCAAGGTGATGTTGTTGCTGGAGACGTCGTTGAACTCAACCCACAACGCGATACTGTTGATGGAATGACTGCTATGGTAGCTGCTAAGTTGGTCAGAGAAATGGCTGCAAAGATTGCAAAATGATCAAGAGATTTCGGAGCTAACCTCTTTTTGTTATAGTTCCTGAAAATCGGAAAATCTCACTTGTTATAGGTAACTTGTAGCAAAGTTATAAGGTGGTATAAGCATATTACAATGTGCAATAATTCATAAATCTTTTCTCCCAATAATAAGTACTGGTATCTCACGGAAATCTCACGCTTCAATAGCAAAAGCAATGTCTCCTTGCATTATTTTACAAATGGTTTCCCAACTGAATTAATAATACTGAGTTAGTAAATATTTCAAAACAATTGGATTGCTCATTTCAAAACAATGTTGAAAAGTGATAGAAAATAAAATAAAAATACTATAAATAAAAAAATATTAAAGTAAATAATAATTTAAATATAATAGTAAAATATTATAATAAAATAATATTATATTTAAAATTATTTTACTAAATAATAATTTAAATAAAAATATTATTTGAAATTTATAAATCAGATTACGACGGTTAAAGTCAAATTCACGACGGTATATAACCGTCGCAAACAACAACAACAAAAAATAAAGTCAAATTCACGACGGTATATAACCGTCGCAAACAACAACAAAAACAAAAAATAAAGTCAAATTCACGACGGTATATAACCGTCGCAAACAACAACAAAAACAAAAAATAAAGTCAAATTCACGACGGTATATAACCGTCGCAAACAACAACAAAAACAAAAAATAAAGTCAAATTCACGACGGTATATAACCGTCGCCATCTGTTGTGCGTGACAGTTTTTGCAACCGTCGCGAAATAGGCTGGGGACGCACGATTCTGCGACGGTACTTCTACCGTCGTAGATTGTAAATTGCGACGGTTTTAACCGTCGTAATCAGCCAAAATAACCGTCCCAATCTATCATTTTTCTTGTAGTGTATGTATTTAAGTACCTTCGATCTCGTCGAGACGAAGATTTTAATCTTCATATTTCCGGATAGAAGAAACTTAAATAGGGGCAGCTGTTGTACCCCAAATTTTGACCTAAGATACCATCTCCCATCTGCATCATTACATTGCAAGTGTTTTGACCTATTTTTATCAAATTTCAAAGGAGATGTTAAATTCATAATTTTTTCAAATCGAGAGCTGGTTATTTTTGAAACGCCCAGTTCATTAATTGATCAATGCTAAAACAATGTTTATTTAATTATTTATTATTCTGAGTTTAAATAATTGGAATTTATTTTCAGTTATTATATAATTTAAAGAATTATAAATAATAAAGTAAATATTTGAAAAGAAGTTTGTTAATTGATCAATGATGTTTATTTAATTATTTATTATTCTGAATTTAAATAGTTGAAATTCATTTTCAGTTGTTATAATTTAAAGAATTATAAATGATAAAGTAAATAATTGGAAAGAAGAAAAGAATTAACTGGTAAAATAATAGAGTTTTATTCATTTTATTCTAATTGTTACAATTGTTGTTTAAATACCGTATTTATTTACAAAGTATTTACAATGATAATTTTTACAAATGTTTAAAGTGAAATAAAAACTATCCTAATTTTTCTAAGTTCTAAATCTTCATCTTCTACCAAATACTTCTTTGATGCTCATTTGATTTTACCTGCAAAGAAGAATTAAAGAAAAAGTCAGAGATAGATAGATAATTAAAAGCAGACGATTAATTTAGAGTTCATCATTAAAAGCAAACGGCTGGAATCAGTTTTTACCCTCTTTGCAAATCACGGGATTTCTCCCGGTTCATAAAAAGGGATGAATATTTGTTGATAAATATGAATGCACAAGTTAAAAATATGCACAAATTCAATTTTGCCAAAACCAACTGCATATTTCAATACCAATTGCACATTTCAATTGTCAAAACTGCATGTTTCAAAACCAACAGCATATGCAAGTCAAAGTTACATTTTCAAAACAAAGTCCAACGTAAACTATCCAACATATGGGAGGAGGTCAAAATACAAGGCTCCTCCTTACTGTAACAATGCATATAGCTAAAGAAGGAAATGTGCAGATTAAAACCACATATGCAAGCCAAATATTCCTAATTTCATCATTTTCCAGCTTTGCTTTTTCAGAACACAAAGTACATATAACATTTTAATGTTTCAAACTGTACTAAGGAGAGAGAAGAGAGAAAAGAGTTTGGGTTTACAGGTTTTGGCCTTAGGCAGAAAAGAGATAGAAAACAAAACTGCAGTAACACAGTAGAAAAAGGGAAGCATAGAAAAGGATACAAAGCAAACTGAATGAAACAGTAGAGAGTGCAGAGGTATCAAAGGAAAATAGTTAAAATATACAAAACCTGAACTGTCAAAAGGGTAGGCCAGCAACGGATATTATAACAACAACAAATTTCTCAAGAAAAGGCCAGAGTTGAAAAACCTGTTTTAAAAGCTTATTTCTCAAAGTACCAAAAACCTTAAGAACCTGGATTCAAAACAACATACAGCCTACTGTCCAAACCCCTGGAACCATGCCAAAAACTCAAGCATCAAGCCAAGTTAACCTACCTGAAGCATAAACCATAACCTGTCAAACAAAGTATCACAAGCCAATGCTCGTACCAAACCATAAAACCATGACCATTAAAACCTCACTTGTCCAACAGCCTGAAGCAATCAAACATAAACATGTCCAAACACTGCATAAACATTAATGGTCAAGCCTAATCTACATAAGCCATCACCAACAAACAATACCCTGTAAAACCTGTCATGCTCAAACACAAACTGTCAAGACCTGAACCAATTATCAAATAACATCAAAAAAACCTCCAGCCAATAATCTATCAAACCATTAACTGTCAGCAACCTGTTTCCAGCCCCAATCAAAACCATGCTCGAACACAAACTGTCAAGACTTTAAAACCAGATTCAAAACAAACATACAGGGCAACTTAACAATCCAAAAGGCAACAGAAGTGAGACAGAAAGAAGAAAGGGAAAGCTAGTCAA